ATACAACACAATGACTCCCTTCAATTGCCAGTCTGCCTCATCTAAATGTTCCCTTTGCCTAAGGCATTTCAAATGTGAACACACAGGTTATATCATCACGCTAAGAACTCCTCTGACCAATGCACAGGCAGGCAGGTAGGTGAGGGGGTCACTGGGCTCCATCTGCAAACTCCTTCTACAAACTCCTTCTGCAAGGCACAACTCTGCGTTGTGGCATCAACCTTATAATGTTTTACAGCTTACGAATCTTCTTGAAGCAAGGTTCATAGCACAGAACTAGTATAACAGGAAGCTCAATTTAGAAGATGCAGCTTCTGAAAACCTGCAGCCCAGAAAAGGAGAGGTGCCCGCTGGCATTCATGTGCCTCGGGGTTGGGGCTCCCGGGTCAGTCAGTCAATGCAGCACCTCTGCTGATGGCCCTGGAAGCATCTGCTTTGGACTTGTTAAGATTGCCACCTCATAAGCTTATCTGAAAACCTTAAATAGTGGCCTCCTGAATACAGGGCTTCCTGAGCGAGGGCTGGAAACATGACTTTGGAGAACTTCCTCCTATCTGGAAGGCGTCAAGTTAGGCTGGCTCTCTCCTTCAGGGTCTTCCCTCCTGCCCCACTATGATTCACACTGGCCAGGGGCTCCATGTCCCCTGGTGCCATCTGATGGCTATGATGAACACTAGAGTAACAAACCACGGTCCATGAGGCGTTTTAGTAACTTTCAGCTGCTGCCATCCCTGCGGGCCACCCAAGGATGCACATTCAACCCCCACCCTCTCTACAGGCAAAGAACACCAACCCACCCCCAGAATCTTGGCCTGGAGTGCCTCTCCTCCTTCCCAGTTACCAACAATACCCACTCCATCAGTGACTTGAGCAGCTGGCCCAGGCTGACCAGATGACCAGAAGCAATGTCATAAGTGAACGGATAACATGGAGAGAGTTAAGGGAGGAGGAGAGGCAGAGTGAACTCACAGAAGAGGTTAGCCCTGAACCTGGAGGCAAAAAAAGTCTGAGGGGGAGCAGCATCCACCTGGAATATAAAGCATGGGCCAGTTTTGTTCAGAGACACATAAGCATCCTGCCTCGGCGGCCCCCGCCTGTCAGACACCTTGGGTGCCACACCAGTAACTGCTTAGGGTGGCACCTTACCTCCCAAATCACTCCTTAGACCACCCTCAACTCCCACCAGGGGGGTCTTGCTTCACATCCAGACCTGGGTTCCATCAGGCTGGGCCTGGCCTGGCCCCTGTCCCAGGCTGAACCAAAGTCATATACCACCCTGGGCCAGAGCGGTCAGCCCCACGAAGCTGAGTTCAGTTTCCACAAGACCAGGACTCATTTCCAGGTTTGTTGACAACCTTTTGTCTGGAAATAAAGGGGGCTGCTGGTATTGACAAGCGCAAAGTCTGCTCTCCAACTCACCTGCAGCCCTGCACCCCATTGCCTTCCTTCCTGATCACTTCCTGGGCATCAACTGCCCAGTGTTGCCGCGTCTCCTCCTCCTCCCGTCTCTCCCTGCCTCTCCCCTTCCACACACGCCAGGGCCAGGGCTCTGGAGGCTGCTCAGCCCATGCAAGAGTGGTACCCTCCCAGAGCCCAAATTCCCCTTCTCGGGCGAGCAGCTGAAACAACTTGGCCTGGAGTAGGGCTGTCCCCATCCTGGGTCACTGCAGGCACTTTAAACGCACCTTTCCTGGGATAGTTTTCTCAAGACCTCGCCTCTTTTTTAACCTTCCTTCTCTTTGTACCTCCACCTCTCATGTCTCATCTAACTCTGTCATCTCCCCATCTGTCCCCTGAGGCCCTAAATGGCCACTTCCTCCCCCACATATAAAACCCAGAGGAGCCTCCCTGTCGCTAACACCTCTGTTGTTTTTAATAACGTCTTCTTACTCTCATTTTGAAATAATTTCAAACTACAGAAATATTACAAGAATAGTACACAAAAACTCCTGTATACCTTTCACCCAAATATATCAATTGTAAAAACATTTTGCCACGTTTGCTTTATTACTCTTCGTCCTTCCCTTCCCCTCACCGCATAGACACACTTTTTTCCCTGAATAGTTTGAGATTTATTTATAGAAATCATACTCTTACCTTCAAATACTTCAGATTTTTATGTGAGGATGGGCTCTTACATAATTATCAAATTCAAAAAATTTAACACTGATGTAAGACTATTATCTAACACGTGGGCCACATTAAAAATCCGCCAGTTGTCCCAACAGTGTCCTTACGGCTATCTCGCCCTCTCCTTCCCGCCTCCAGGAGCACATCCTACGTTTGGTTGTCATGTCTCTCTAATCTTCTTTAAACTTTGTCTACCATGACGTCTACATTTTTGAAGATCACAGGGCAATTGTTTTGTAAATGTCCCTCAATTTGGGTTTGTCTGATGATCAGACTCAGGTTATACCTCGTTAGCATAATTAGAACTTTAGACTTGCACAAGCTACTTCTGCCACAAAGCAAAAGATGCATTTAAGAGTTATCACTCCCTTCCAACAGACTCCCATTGCTACAAAACCCACTAACCCCACCTAGGTGGTGAGGAAAACATTTGGTAAACTAATTCATTTTGAGTTATTAGTGATCGAAGGCTGTCCCCGAGTCAATAAACCCGCTAGGCATCACTGTATTATTTTTTTTTCAAGAAGATTAGCTCTGAGCTAACTGCTGCCAATCCTCTTCTTTTTGCTGAGGAAGACTGGCCCTGAGCTAACATCCATGCCTATCTTCCTTTACTTTACATGTGGGATGCCTACCACAGCATGGCTTTTTGCCAAGCCGTGCCATGTCCACACCCAGGATCCGAACCAGCAAACCCCAGGTTGCTGAAGTGGAATGTGCACACTTAACTGCTGCGCCAGTGGGCCAGCCCCAACATCAGTGTATTTTAAGAGAAAAATTTATTAACCTAAAAGATGTATTTGTTTTTTAAGTCACAAAAGCCTATGCTTTTAATTGCAGGTGTGGGCTGTTTCTCATATAGACAACTCTACGCATGTCCAAGGGCGAGGAATGGTGCAATTTTACTGAGAGTTCTCTTGAAAAAGGCCTTCACTATGAAACACTACGGGAGTAGCCTGTTTCCTATAACTGATGGATTGAAACTGTTTATCCATCTTTACTTTGTCTTAGTTTTCCTGGGGTTTACATGTCTCCTAGCAAGGCCTTCCGGGACTGGATTTCAGAGCAGTGAAGTTTTGGATTGCAAATTTCTAATGTCTGGGGAGAGAAAGCCCAGTCAAAGCCAGCTTAGTTTGGGACACTTGGAGGCTCTGTAAGTCCACCGAGTGCCTAGGTGAGCAGTGAGTGGTGGGCACGACATGGCAGAGGAGTGCGGACAGAAAGGGAGGAAAGATCCAGATACAAACCTTTATCAGTCTTCAAGTTTGCCCAAGGTGGCCCTTTTCTGCTTATGCCCCACTAACCAAAAAGAAAACAGAAAAGGGAGCAGATTTATTACAAAATACAGAGTTTCTTAATAAGGATTTTAAACACAGCTTTTATTAAAGCCTGCAATTTTGAAGCAAATATCTGTTCTTATTGTAAAAATATGCTATAAAATGAGTGAAAGAAATAGTTTTTTCTTTTTCTCTTTTAATAATAGCAAGGAAGCACAGCATGATGATTTTACGTCTCTCCCCATTTCCCAGGCAACATTCCAGCATCCTCACGTCTTTTCCGCTCCTTTTCTTTTTCTTTGTAGAAGCAGCAGCAGCAGCAGCAACTTTTGCACATACTTCTTGAGAGGCACAGGTGTAAGCCACCGACCACACATGCAAAACCAAAGTTCCTCTCTCAAGGCAAGATGAGTGGCACAAATAGGAGACAGCGTTTTGCAGAATGGCTAAAGAAATAGCCAACGAATGCAATCTGTGGGATTTGTTACTTATGTTGCACCCTCAGAATACAAGTTTCCTATAGTGGAGTGAACTTATGTGTATACACTTCTAGAGTTACGAGAACATTCATGCAAACTTTTAACGAGACTTTTGAGCCCAGAACTATGTTGAAAGTTTTAGGGGAAGTATCTTATTTAGGCTAGTATCTATACGATGATAATAGGAGAAACAGAGATGCTTATTAAACCAATTTGTGTTGGTTGCTTAAAAAGTTAACATTAAACTACATTCAGATATTACAGTTAAAAAAAGAGGGAGTCCAGCCCCATGGCAGAGTGGTTAAGTTTGCATGCCCAGGGTTCACCGGTTCAGATCCTGGGTGCGCACCTACACATCACTCACCAAGCCATGCTGTGGTGGCGTCCCACATAGAAGAACTAGAATGACTTGCAACTAGGATATACAACCATGTACCGGGGCTTTGGGGAGGAAAAAAAAAGGTGGAAGATTGACAACAGATGTTAGCTCAGGTCCAGTTTTTCCCCCAAAAAAGCACACCTTAAAAAAAGAATTAAAAAAAATAAAGAGTTTTTTGGTTAGGTAATTCAGTTTTTGATATCATTAAAGTATTATCTGTAGTCAGACTTCCTGTAACTTTGTTTTGCTTTAATCTTTATAATTTCTTTTTTTGTTGTTAAAAGACTGAGTGGATCTAGAAAGTTCCCAGTACAAGAAAAAAATTTTTGTAACTACTTATGATGACAGATGTTAACTGGAATTATTGTGGTGATCATTTTGCAATATATACAAACGTTGAATCATTACATTGTACACTCGAAACTAATATAATGTTATGTCAATTACACCTCAATAATAATAAATGAATAAATAACTGCTATCTATAACACTGCCAAACAGAAAATAGAATAAAGCTTTCAGTTTTCTATGATTTCTTTTAAAGTTCACTTTGTAAATGCGCCTTGCTCTGCAAGTTTTCCAGTGAGCATCAAATGGTGTCATTAAGGTCTTCATTTGGTTTATAACAATCTCAGGTTATTTAAATGCTCTTCACTCCAATTTAGAAGAGGGAGGTGATTCTTTTGGCATCTCAGTTTGAATAGGAATTATTTGAACCACCCATTTTAGGTTTTTATTAGTTTAAATATCCTGTGATCATAAAAAGTTTGGGATAAGAAGAATGTAGTTCCTGCTCCTGTTTTGCGAACATAAATAATCTATAACCAAGTATCTTCACTGCTGACAAGGAGAACAATTTCTAGTTAGTGTTCAAGTGTTTAAGATACTTAATCTTCAAACCCAATAGTTTTAGTTTGGAAAAAGAAAACAGAAATCTTTTATAATCTTTTCCGCGGCATTGGCCTCTTTGGCTTCAGCATGTTTGGGGCTTCTCTCTTCTCTCTGCTTTCCTCAGATGAGCTTCCTCTCCCGACATTTCTTCCAGGGAAATACTGATAACGAGGAGGAAGGCGAACGCGTGGCCAAATAAACGGATGAAACTGAAAACGGCGGTTGCACCATGGAGGGAGGAAAGGTCTGTTTGGAAACCTAATGTAGACTCTGGGCCTTCGTCGTGGGAAAAAAATGAAGGGACACTTGGGTGTCCTTGTGATGGGCTGGATCCTCGTCACAGGGTTCCTTGTGGTGGGGGGAGGGGTGAGGGTAAAGATCTGGCAGTCTGTGGGGTCTCCATTATTTCGTGAGCCCCCAGGAGGGGTCACCACCTCTTCTTGTCCTGGAGGGAGACAACTGCATGTAAGGAAAGAGCAGAAAGGAGATACTATAGGTGTCAGCAGGGGAGAAAGATTGGAATAGAGAAATAGAGAAGTCTCAAAGCCTACTTGGAAGAATTGCCAAAGTGTAATAAAATGAAACATGGATGCACCTTATGACCGAGCCATTCCACTCTGGGGAGTTTACCCAAGAGAATGTGCGTATGTCTACAAAAGACTAGTTCACGAATGTTCACAGCAGCCTTATTTATATCAGCTTAAACTTGCAAACATCGCAAATGTCCATCAATAAGAGAATGGATAAACAGCCTGTAGTCATACGATGAAATAGTACTCCGAAATGAAAAGGAAGAATTACTCATACAACCACATATGGATGCATCCCACAAATGTTATGTTGAACAAAATAACTTAGACACAAAAGAGTACATACTGTGAGGTTCCATTTATATGAAGTTCAAGAACAAGCAAATGTAATCTATGGTAAAAAATTTTTTTTAATTTAGCTTAAGGTTAGGGTAGGCGTTATTTAGTGGAAAAAGTAACCAAAGAATTCTTTAGATCTTGATCTGGGTGAGTGTTACATGGACACAGATACACACACACACATTTATATTGACATATATACACATATACACATATGTATGCACATATCTTTATATACACACACATATATATGTATATGTAAAATGTGATCGATCTGTACCTTTAAGTTTGTGCATTTATTGTGCACAAATTATAACTAAATAAAGAAAATTCAGTGGAAAAAAAGAGCTTAATTAATGTTAAGAAAATAAAAATAAATGCTCCTTGACGGCTATTAATCCAAAAGGCCCATTCGCTTGCCCCAGCAGTGAAATGACTCCCCCAAGAGGAAGGGAGGGGCATCTGCACGCAGCAGGGGAACCAGCACGGAGGGCCCGGATGAAATGAGTTTCCGAGAAGAAATTTGGATCAAGCTCAAGCGTCAAGGTCTTCTCTCTCGCTGTTTGATCCGATCGAAATGGCTATGTAAATCGAAGCTTCCCTTTAGAAAATTACTCCTCACTCCCTTAAGAGACTTACCAATCGCTGGCCTGGAAAGGGCTGCTGAGTATGAGTGATGGAAAAATGAGCTCCCTTCAGGAAGGTGAGAGAACTGAGGCACTTAAAAAGAGCTAGATTCCCCTCATCTTTAGAACAGCTGAACTGAGGTTTCTTGGTTGTATTGGGTATGCTTATTGCCTTCCTGTGTTCACAGCCCTTCCAGAGATTCTGGTTCACCCACAACCCCTGGAAAAGTCAGTCCTACCCATCTTGGCTACGGCTGATGGGACTGCTGTTCGACACTCAACTCATTTATTGGCTGGCCAATGACCAATCAGATTCTCACCTGAGAATCTCAACAAAGAGACACAGTTAGTGGCAGATGTTCGTGGAAGGTGTAGGGCAGAGGGTGGAGTGTCAGGTTTTGGCCAGATGAATATTGGGTAAGCAGAGAAGCCAGTGTCTCCAGAGAAGCTGTAGAATGGGGAAGATCTTTTGAAGAGAAAAAGAGACAAGAGACCATGTCGTAAATGAGTGATGGTGAAAGCAGCCTTGGTTTTTGACTATCCAGGGCTGGTGCCTCTGAGGGCTGACTGTGCTTGAGGTTCTTGAAGATATCTTTATAATAATCACTCCACATCTAGCTTTACTCTTTTTTTTTTTTTTTTCTGCTTTATTTCCCCAAGCCCCCCCGGTATATAGTAGTATATCTTAGTTGCAGGTCCTTCTAGTTGTGGGATGTGGGACGCTGCCTCAACGTGGCCTGAGGAGCGGTGCCATGTCCATGCCTAGGATCCGAACCCTGGGCCGCTGCAGCGGAGCATGTGAACTCAACCACTCGGCCACGGAGCCGGCCCCCTAGCTTTACTCTTTTTTAAAGCTAGCTTGAATGGGTGTCTGTTTCTTGAATGAAATACTGACTCTTTTTCCCTTACCCATCCAGGCTACTGCGAGTTGAAATCCTGTGATTGAGACTAGATTAAGGCATTTTGAACTACAGAAGATGGTTAAATCTCACATTACTCATTCTTTCCTCCCACACAATTAGATCAGTACTGAACCTTTGTAATGTGAAAACTTTCTGCCAAGAATCCGATTGCTAGGGGAGAAGCTAGCCTTATTCTTAAGCTCCATCTTGACATTTTGCTGTCAGATCAGGCTTAGCTAGGTCTTGAGCTCTGCCACTCAGTAAGCTGTACTCCAGCTGTTAAAAACCAACCAACCACCCACTCCTTGTAGTCATCTCATTTCTTAAAACCTGAGGCTACTCTCCAAATCCTCCTGCCGACAATGGGGCGTTAGTGGCTGCTAGGCAGGTTTGCTCTGGCTCTGGGATGTCCAGTGGTGTTCAGTCCTCTCTTCTTCTGAGAATTTCCAAGGGCTCAAGACCAAGATACAAGCTTGTTCCAGTAACCACCCCCAAAATGTGGGCAGGACGACATAAAACCAAATTCTTCCAGCAGACTAGACACATGGTGACCACTTCAGTCACTGGTTGGCTAGCACAAGTGTTCTAAAATGTGTGATCCATAGGGATTCGTTTGGGAATCTGTCACAGGTCCTTATAAGGTTAAGACCACACTTCTGAGTGAGTGGGTTGATGCCATACGTGGCCTCCAACTTTGGCTGAGTTAACACTGCTCGTCAATTTTTATGTTTATCTTTGTTCTGCTCCATTCCCAGTGTCTTCTAAACCTTTGATACTCTCCTTAGAGCCCCTTCAAAATTCTCATTTTTCATTCACTTGAAGAATTCTCTTCAGAATTCTCTTTACCTTTCTAAGTAGATTCCTTAGCTTCATGTTTCAGAGAGAGAACTTTGATAATCTGTCATGAAAGTCTTTGGTTCCTACTTCTCTCACCTCAAAGACAAGTCTACACACTTCTGACTCCATTTCCCCGTGACCCCCCACCTATTTAATCTATTGGAATCTGACTTGACTTCCTCCCCTCCACAAGAACTACTTTGGCAAAAGTCATCAGTAGTCCTGGGCTGTTAAAAAGCCCAGAGCATCATCTCCTGCCCTCTTTGCCTGGCTTACTCCTATGCAGATTTCATGTCTCACCTCCTCAGGGTGGCTTTCCCTGCCCTGAGGCTGGCTAAGGCCCCTGGCAGCATGCTTCCACAGCACCCTGTGCGTCCACTTTCATAATACTCAGTCATGTGATTACTTTTCAGCGGTTATATTCCTCCTCCACTGAAATATCCACGTGACCACCCTGTAGACCACTCTCTCTCATCCCTAGCACCGGGCCTGCAGTGGAATTGAATTGACTGAGAGAAATCTCAGTTTCTATAATTGCAAAAGTTACTACGGTCCTACCTCTCAGGAATAATATGATCACCAACCAGCAAATATTTCTCGTTACGTAACATACTGACGTGCCACCAAAGGCACTGAATGTCAAAGACGAGAGCTCTTCTGTAACCTTAATCATACCAAAGTAGGTCACATATTTAAATGCAGATTGAGAACACTTTGAGAGGCAGAACAGCATAGTGTTTAAAAGCATAGGCTCTGGAGTCAGGTTCCCTGAGCTCTGCCATTTAATAACAGTGTGACTATTGACAGTTTCCTTAACTTAGAGGGTCTCCTTTTCTTTCTTTGTCAAATGGAGAAAATAATACTACCCATCTCATTGGCTTGTTGCATTATCTGAAATAAGAAATGTAAAGTCCTGAGAACATACAGTTATGCATTTTGTAGGGCTTAGCTACTGTTGTTATTAATCTTGAATGTGATAGAAAGGTTTTTGTTAGCATGAGCCTCATTTTATTGGGCTCATCTGGTTACATTTTATGTGTAAAATCTGTGCACTATTTTTTTTTTAAGCTTTAATTTTTTTTTATTAAATTTTTTCTTTTTTGAGATTGGCACCTGAGCCAACATCTGTTGCCAGTCTTTTTTCTTTTTCTTCTTCTCCCCAAAGCTCCCCAGTACCTAGCTGCATACTCTAGTTGCAGGTCCTTCTAGTTCTGCTATGTAGGACGCCGCCTATGCACGGCTTCATGAACCGTGCTAGGTCCACGCCCAGGATCCGAACAGGTGAAACCCTGGGCAGCTGAAGCAGAGTGTGCGAACTTAACCGCTCGGCCACGGGGCCGGCCCCAAAATCTGTGCACTATTGATAGGACTAAAGGGTGCAGATGTTATTAGAACAGGGCCTCCATGAAGACAGGGCCTGTGGACTGTTGGTCTCTGCTTTGTCGCCAGTTCCTAGAGTGGTCCCTGCTTAGAGTGTGCTTGGCACATGGTTGATAAATGGAATGAACGGTCAGGCAGATGTTGAATGCTCCTCCTGTAGATTTTCGTGAAGCTCAGTGAGTATTTAATTCCAGTCCCAGAAAATTTGTAATAATAATTTACATTTAAAATTAGAGTATGATAAAAAATCAAGCCAAAATATTGCTTGGAGTTTGGACATCAATTTTAAATGGGTTTATTATAGTCTAGACATGAAATTCATAGCATACCAACAATTAGTACTTTAAAAAAAAAAGTAAGGATGAGAAGACTTTTTTTTATATATGTAATTACCTGTAGTCTGTGGTTATTTGGGCAGACAACAGCTGGTTTGTAATGAACTATACTGATTGTTAAGAGAAGTGCACCTTATACTTGATGTATGAATATGCTGTTCCTCCTTTACACGGCGCATGGAATATCAGAACAATTCTCATGTGCTTTCACAGCTGAACCAGAAAGAAGTGTAAGTCCTGGGATTAGTTTACTCACAATAACTGCCACTCAATTCATTTTGTAGACTCATGGAATGGCTGGCTTTGGGCAAACCTCGAAGTTTACAGATAAAGAATCTGGAACCCAGAAACTGTCGCACAGACCTCTTTCAATTCTATGCTGTAAGTCCAGTCGTTTTAACAGTGTGCAGGTTACTGTGTCAGGTGCTGTGGCAAATGCAGAGATGAGAAAGACACGGGGCCTGTGCTCGAGAAGTGGGGAGACGCCACAGATACACCGACCTGTAATACAGAGCAGAGTGCAGCAAGCGCAGGGGTGATGTACAGACTGTTATAAGGATTCCAAGACGTCTGAGAGAGGTTCCAATTCTAAAATTAGGTGCCTTAAGAAAGCCTTTGTGAAGGCAATACTATAGTGACATTTAAATGTAATTATGTGAACAGAATTGCAGCAAACAGAGGTGAAAGCAGGAAGAGGGAGCAGCCCCAGTTGGCTGGGGAGGAGAGAGAACAGGGTGAGAGTGGAGACTCACAGACGGCCATGTTGGGCAGAGCCAGACGGTGTGTGTAAGCGAGCGGTGAGGTGGGTCCGTTGACCTGGAGCTGGAACTTGGATAGAATGAAGCTACACTTGAAGGACTTCCACGCCAGTCTGAGGGATGGTGGGGAAGAGTGAGCCAAATTCAGAAATCAAATCTCCCATGTTAATGGGTGTTTTTCAGATGTGAATAAGCCTCTCATCTCATTATAACCTGTTTAGCTACATATTTACAAAGCTTCCTGAAGAGTGGTTCACTTTCTGGAAAGCAGTGTCAGGTGGCTGGTTCTGTTTTATGTGTCTCTTTTAGATGCCCCTTTTAGCAGGAGATGCTTGGGGGCCTTGTCCTGGGAACCGGCAGGTGTTATTTGTAATCTGTGTCTCCTCGCCATCTGATCGCCAGAGTCCATGCAGGGACTGGCCACGGTGACCTCTGGTGGTCTCACCACCTGCTCTGATGTCTCTGGCCCTCTCCGCTTTGGGGGATGGGAGCAGGGAGCTTGTTGGGGGATGAACAGGGTCTGGCTGAGCCCCCGCAAAGCCTCAGGGGCGTGTGAAAGGGGCAAAGGACTCAGTTTGACTCCTGGGTCTCTCCTTTCTTGACAGTATCTTTTCTGGAACAAAGTGAACTGTGAAAAATCCTTAGATCCAAGTCTCCCTTTCCTTCTCTCGTTCCTTTCTCCTCTCTTCCCTATCCTTCTCTTTCCTCTCCCCATGGGTCTGCAAACCAATTCCAAGGCTGAGGCCACTGGCAATTTTGTAGTGGGGGAAAGGCTAGATGACAGGAACAGTGGAGAAATTGAACCTCATATAATTCTGAAGAAAGAAATCTATGCTCACCTCAGTAGCACCAAGACACAGCTGAAAAAAAATGTGATTGATTAAAGCAGTTAACAGAGACTAAGCACCCACCGCATGCAAATTACTTGGCTGCAGGGGATATAAAAATGTGGACATTGCTGTAATTCAAAGTGGAAATCGTTAGCCCTGTAACAATAACAACTGGTATCTGAATAGTCTTTTAAGTTTGAAGAGCTTTCTTGTATGATGGTTCGTTTGATCCTCACAACCCCCATAATAATGAATATTATTAATACTGTCAATTCACATGTGAGGATATCAGAGAGGTTAAGCGTATCTAAAGTCACAGAGCTAGAGCTCTTCGGATGATAAAATTCAGTCTCTTTCTCTTTAACCACACAGATGGATGGATATGTATAATCATGGAGCCAAATTTTGTCTTTTCACACAACTTATTAATTAGTGGGCCCACAATGGAATAAAAACAAAACCCTTACCTTCTGCCACAGTTACCACCAACCAGCAGACCAGTAGCCAGAAGGAGACGCAGAACCGGTGAGCCATGGCTCCTGCCCTGAGCAGGCACTGCCTTGAACCCAACGTAGCTTTAAAGGGGAGTTGGTGAGTCACCAGCAGCCTGATTCAGGTAATTTGCATTGCATAGTGGACCACAGCGATCAGGGCCTGTGGTATGAGGGCAAAAAATCCACAAGGAAATTCCAGACAGTATTTATCAGCCAGAAGCTTCTTGTCACCACAGCCAAACATCATTCATCTGTCCTTGGAATTGGGTTGTGGACAACCACCCCCTCACTATCCTTTTCATTCCCTCGAATCTTCTCCCATGTTAGTGCCTTCTCTTAACTCGTGTGTGTGGGTCTCCCTCTGCAAGAGAATCTGTCCAGGAAATACTCAACACTACTTCCCTCTGGGTAGCTTACTGACTTCAAAAAGCCAAACAGGATGGGGAGGGCACTATCCAAAGTCTTCCTGATCCAGGTGGTTTGAAGAGGCTGTTTACAGGCCCCAGGCAGATTACGGCTTCTTCTTCTCTTCTCTGCTGTTGTCCAGGAGCCAAGGGCAGCAGAATCAGAAAACTCTCTTCTCTAGTAGCCGTTAGGGTCACTATCTAAACAAATCTGAAAATTTGGGGAGATTAGCTTAGCAAGTTGCTTTATGGGGTTTCTTCTGATTCATCAAACTGCCCACAAAATGGCCATGGTATATCTGGGCCAGGTTTGTTTGCTGAGAGAAGGACTTGTCTGTCAGTTGCTGGATGAATGGGAGGGCATGGTCACAAGTAGTTAAGAGCATAAACCTTGGAGTTAGAAAAAACTGGTTCCAGTCTTGGTTCCTTTTCTTACTAGCTGGGTGATCAGGAGCGAGTCCCTGAGACTTGAAACCTCAGATGCCTCGTCTGTAAAATGGGACTTGGGGTATTTCCTTCAGAGGATTGTTGTGATGAATGAAAGAGGTAACTGACAGAAAGCGCCAATCACAGCGCCTGCTCCGTGAAAGGGAGTTGTGGCGTATTAAATTATAGTGACTCCAGTTCTGACTTTGCTCTCTTAAGAGGTTGTATGTGCCAAGGGATTCAATCACTCCAAAGGCCTCCACCTTGACCAGAACATTTTCCAGGGCATTGCAGAAAGAACAAAACAGAACATAGTCCCTGGCTTCGCTGAGCTGACAATCTAACGAGGGAGACCGTGCAAACCGAGAGGTGAAATGAGTAAGAATGTTAACACTCAAATTAGAAAATGATAAATTCCACTTGATGATAATCCTAGGCAGAATTCTAGAACAGATGATTAAATGGACAGTTTGTCAGCAGTTTGGAAAGGAAGTAGGGATCATCCAGAACAAGCTCAGTTCCTGAGATCAAGGCATTACCTACTCATTCAACAGCTCTCTATTGACCACGTATCGTGTGCAGACACTGGTCTAGGTGCTGGGGCTAAGATAGGGTTCCTGCTCTAGCGGAGCATACAGTTTGGCAGGGACATTAAATATTAACTAAAGAATAACAATAAAGGGTTTTGAATGTTAAGAGAGAGGAAGTACTAAGGCTACAAAACAGAGAAACATAACCTATAATTTTAGGTGAGTGTGTATTGCGTCTGCTACTTTGCCTGCTGCATTGGAAGTATATCGCCATGCCAATAAAATTAGATCCACGTAATCTCTTTAACTACTGCCCAGTGTTCTGATTTATGAATGGATTGTAAATTATTTAACCAAAGTTTTGGTCGATGGACATTTGTAGTATTTCTTCTGATCCTCTTTCTTTTCTGTGTTGGATTTTTGACGAGCTTCCAATTGAAGTGTTGATAAAAATAAATAACGAAAGCAAAATAGTGTAACTTTTTTCTGTTTGCATCTATTGCCCTGAAATTTACAAAGTAAAGGAATGAAATTTCAAAATGAATAAAACTTTAAAAAATTTCATCAAATTCTCATTTGACAGAAAATACTAACTTTTTTCTTTACTATTGGTGTAGAGAGTAACTAAGTCTTGCCATATCTTATTTATTTGTATGTTATATATAAAGTGGAACTAAGTGTTCGACAACACATAGAATCAATGAAGCTGTTGTGAGTTTATCTGGCTATCAGATTCATTCATAAAAATCTTTATTTATCTAAAAAATAGGGAAATATTTCTGAAAGCTTATTTCAAATGTGGTAATTTTGGTAAAAATATCTTTGCAGTCATATGCTTTAAAAATCCACAAATCATAATGTTACTATTTTGTTAAAGGCTGATCAGTGAGATTCTAATTTCTGTATTCCCAACGTCAAGAAAGCTACAGTGGCTTTGGGTCACTGCTGTTGATCCGATGTCCACACAGCCGGTTTGTGTTAGGTGTTTTTCTTACAATAACTTCACGAGGAGGTGATGTTGGACTCAAGAAGAGTTACATCTCTTTCTCAAAGACTCAAAGATATTAAGAAGTAAGGCTGAGACTCAGAATTGGGATTTTTCTGACTCCAAAGTTCATGTTCTTTCTTCTAATTCAATATGTTTACTTTGTTTTAAAAATTCATTCATTCATTTACTCACTAATTCATTAATGAACTTATCTTCTCATTTTAATTGACTCTTTTGTTTTATATCCTCTGGCTTAACAGTCTGTGAGGAAAGAGGCTCTTCCCTTAGAAACGACCCGGGGAAGAACTCTGGTCGGCCAACCGGGTCATGTGGCTGGGCAGTGGGGGAGCTCAGACTAGAAGAGGAGGTGGGAGTAACAGACCGGGCCACTAGGGATGTTAACCACGGGGCTACTCTGATTAGTGTCTACTACTCTATGGTGTCAAATGACCTTCCCACCCCACAATCAGTCTCCAGTATGTGTCACTTACACAGAATACCTGATAACAAACAGGCCGGTCTACGTTCCTGTGAAAATAAAAAAGAACAACTTTCTATTACTAAATGCCTGAAATTGCTACAAATATAGTGATATTTATAACATTTTTTTGGAAGGAGAGTGTCAGGAAATAGTTGTTGGTGACTCAAGGGTCACATGGTTCAACCACATCTTGGCATGTGAACTTGTTCCAACCAAATGTCAACCAAGACGGAATTATTCATTGGTTTCATTCTATCCAGTGTCTGTGTTCAGGTTGCCCTGATAAAATGTTTCCAATATACTCTAGTGACACGTGTCGTCACAGAAGGAACACTAGTCTAAGAAGGCTTTGTGTACTTTTTAGGGGAAGTCCCTCACATTCTTTCCTCAGGTTTGGAGCCCAGGGAAGTGGGGTGTTTGGGTTGGGAAGTGTTGCTTTAAGGATGTATACTTTTCTCTCACCATTCATTCAACAACTATTTATTTGCCAGACACTATTCCAGGAGCTTGGGCTACATTTCTGAGAAAAACAGACAAAAAGATGCTAGTGGAGTTACCATTCTAGAGGAGTAGAGATGGAGAATAAACAAGAAACATAACAAAGGAGTAAATTATATAACATGTTAGAATGTGAGACTAATCTGTGATGTGTGATACAGAAAAATAAAAGATAATAGAGTAAGAAATGTTGGTGGGCGTTGCAGTTTTAAGTAGAATATGATATTTGAACAAGGACTTGAGGGAGGTAGGAAGTTATCCATGTGGATGTCTGGGGGAAGAGTGTATCAAGCAGTGGGGACAGCCAGTGCAAAGGCCCTGGGACAGGAGTAGGCATGGCATGTAACATACAACAGCAAGGAGGCCGTTGTAGCAGGGCAGAGTGAGTCAGGGGGACAGTAGGAGGAGAAAAGGTCAAGGAATAACGGGAGGCCAGTCATTACTCTGAGTGAGATGGGAAGCCATTGGAGGATTTTGCAGAAAGGAGTGACAGGATCTTACTTACCTTTTGAAAGGACAACTCCGGCCACTGTGTGGAGAATAGATTGTTAGGGGCAAGGGTGGAAGCAAGAAGCCCAGTTATAATACAGTACAGAAGTAGTATGGGGGGAGATGATGGCGACATAGACTGGGGTGGTAATAGTCATGGTGTGTGGAATAGGAACATTCTGGACATATTTTGAAGGTAGAGTTGACAAGATTTCCTGATGTATTGGAAGTAGGGTGTGAGAGACACTGGGGAGTCATAGATAAAAGCCAAGATCTTTTTGGTTTTTTTTGGTGAGGAAGACTAGCCCTGAGCTAACATCTGTGCCAATCTTCCTCTATTTTGTATGTGGGACGCCCCTACAGCATGGCTTGATGAGTGGTGTGTAGGTCTGTGCCCAGGATCTGAGCCCAAGAACCCTGGGCCATGGAAGTGGAGTGTGAGAATTTAACCACTACACCACCGGGCTGGCCCGCCAAGGTTTTTGTCTGAGAATTTGACTGCTGTGGTTGAGTGTGATCAGGTGGTGAGATTATGGTTGAATTAAAAAAAATGCTCTTATAATATTGCCTTTTCCATAAAGAAAAATTGGGAGAGTGAAAATACATTGGCACTTTAGTGAGTAAATACTAAGAAACTTTACAATTGGTCTGTGGAGAGGGACCGTGACATTCAGGACGAGAAGTGAGGATTCTATTTTGGTCAATAAGGAGGATTTGACTTGTAGCCCGGTTGGTAGTGTGACTGGAAATTCTATGTCCAGTGCAGCTTTGCTCTGAGGGGAGAGAAAGGACAAGGTGAGTGGGTGCGCAAGGCGCAGTGTCTGCTGACCCCCACGGGCTCTGGGTTCTCTGGCTTGCCCCATCTCACTGTGGGTGACTCCCAACACCGAAGTTGTTCTCTGTATCTGTCCTCTCTCTCTGGACTTCGAGACCCTTCATGGCAAGAACTGAGTCTTTAAAATATTTTTTTAATTTATTTTTAATTGTGATAAAATAGAACGTAAAAATACCATTTTAACCATTTTTAAGTGTGCAGAAGAGCTGAATCTTGATTACAGTTGTAGCCTCAGTGCTCGCCACATAGCAGACACTCAATAAATAGTCTGGAATACACGGGTAAATGAATGTCTGGGGAGGGGGCTGGAGAAGGGTCTCTGCCAGTGCATGTGCTTTCATGCACCTTATAATCCAGCAAGACCCTGTCAGCAAAGGACATGAGGGCAG